TTTTTTTTTTACAATAAAGAAGGCCGGAGCCTATGTTGCTACTCGTCGGGGGTACGCGACCCCAATATTATCATGCTCAAGCCAAATTCTTTTAGCTTTCTCACTTAACCCTTTGCATTGGAATATAAATTTAACATGTGAATTTTAGATGTGCTATTTATATGACGTTTATTTCTGTTCATATATTTTTTATTCTGATACCGTTTTACTTGTGTTTATATATTGTCTATAATTCTGATAGGCGTGATCGGAGTAGTCCATTGAACTTATTTAAATCGTGACGGACAAAAACAAAAATAAGTAAATAAATATTCAATAAAAGCAACTTTAATCCTGTTTAATTTAATTATACTTTACTGTGCTAATTGAATGTCAATCTTAAAGTCCACGAAAGCCATGTTCATAATTTCGTTGTGCAAGTTGCATCCGTAATAATTTTGTAAAACGAAGTTGATGTCATGCGGCAGTCACACATCAGAACGAAGAATTTTATTGAAATCCCTAATTGGGCGTGACCAACCGGCGGCGAGGCCAGGCGAGGCGCCGGGCCTCAACACTTGGACACAGAATCGACCCAATTATATGTAAGGGCGGGTTTTGAACCGGCCCGGTATTACAACTGGTCCAGATCAAGGACCCACACGAACGGGGTGGTTTCTGGCCAGTCCAGCCCTGTTCTGGGTCGACCTTGGCCACGTCTACCCTAATACTAACATATTTCACAAATTCTTATACGGTACCGTCTGACCTAATAGTCCGTCACATTTTTTTTTTACAAATATTCATACTTACATTACAAAATATTATATTATATTTTTATTTATATTCTGTTTTAGTCTGTAATAACATTTCATTATATATATGTATGTATGTATATATATGTTGAATAAATATAGGTGTCTAACCATTAGTCATGCAAAATAGTAGCTTATGCATCTTCACAAAAGATATCTCACTTAAAGAGAATCTGAGAATGAAAACTAATTTGCACAAGATAATATAAATTAAATTAAAAATAAAATAAAAACGACTTGACCGGAATAATTGCGGCAGATCCCGGATTTAAAAGCAATCATATTGAATAATAATAAAAAAAAAAAAAACTGCACTATTCATGAGATATCACTCAAGTCATTTTGCTCTTGGGTACGTTAATAAAAGAGATTTTACAGTCCCGGAACCTATTCCGTCGGGTTGTAACCATTAGATCAATTATCCATGACGGTTACATAATGAATAAGCGGTTACAAATCATGACTGACATGACTGTAGCATTTTCCTATTAATAAACAATACTAAAAAAAAAATCAAAATAAATAAACAATACAAATGAAAAAAAAAAAAAATGAAAACTTTATAAGGAGTCAATTTCTAGCATATTATACCATAATGAGCAATAAAAACGGTGTGAAAGCATCTGGATAACAAGAATATTTGACCTTTGACTTTCCAGAACTGGAGACTTTCGACAAGGAATATTAATTATTTTTTTTTGGTACAGGGACCTTCCAGTTTCCGGATCCACAGGGGAATCGAATAGTCCGGAATCGAGTCGGGTAGGACCACAAGGGCGGCAAAGCTCTCCCTCAAGAGTTTTAACACTGCTGCATTCCCAGGGCTCGAACTCGAGACCACTGGTTAAGCTGGAAGAGACCCAAGTCATCTCATCCAAGCGCTCTTGGGTGGAATATTAATTATTTATACTTAATTAATTGGATGATAATTAAAAAGATACTATATATATATATGTTGGGAGCATATATCAATGTATATGAGAAGGGAGTGGCATATTGCATGCGGGTTGAATTTGTGTTTGCATGCGCGTTATTAAGTAAGAAAAAAACAAGGTTTAGTTGATTAAAATTGCACTAATTGTGGGATGCTTCGATTTTGACTTGAATTTTGTTTGACTTTTGTGCTAATTATCAACTTCTCGACGAATAACTGCGCCGTAAAACTAATCTTTAAACTAAACACAGCTTGTGAATTTTAATTATTAGTGACATAAAATGGGGAGATGCTAATGTATGTTAAGGAACCATTCTGTCGGGACTTGCAACCGTTAGATAATCATGTAACCGTCAGAGATGGTTGATCTAACAATTACGTACCTGACGGAATAGTTCCGTAACGGGACTGTGGCATTTTCCTATAAAATAACTATTTCTCTTTCTTTTATGTATTTGTTAGATTGATTTTTTTTTTTAATTTTTTTCACAGTTATAACCTTATTTTATATTAGGAAAAGGGGACATTAAAATACATTGAATATAATGGCCATTTAGCAGTGCATAATATTTAATTTAGATCATTATATATTATTTATGGAAAATCTATTTGGAATTTATATTTAGGAGGATGAACTAAAAATGATTATTTTTTCTTATTGATAATGTGAGTGAAATTAATTATTGGGGTTTGGTTTGGTGGGATAGTAATCATAAGCTTGTGGATGGTTGACTACGCTAAATCTTGTACATGATTTAACTTCGATCAGTTTACTAAGTTCCTTTGCTATAATGATAATAACATTGAAAATTTTAATTCACTTATTATAGAAAAGCCAACGTATCTTCATATTTTAATGCGTGCACGGATATTTTGTACTTAAATCTTACTACATAATATTTTTTCGCATATTCACAAATCACAATATCGATAATATCAATAATGTTGCTAGGATGACGTACTCGTTAGATACATATATTTGTTTTATAAATATAAGCAAGTTTCAGAATTTCATAACATAATTTCAAAAACAACATTAATTAAGACATTTTTCTGTATTAAAAATATATATGATAAATCAATCAGTCTAGCCGTTAGACTGCTCGCAATTTTCTTTTATAATACTCTAGATTATGCAGTTATTCTTGTGGCTAAATTTAACAATTCGAGACCTATGCATGATGAAGGATGGTGTATCTATTGTAAATACAAGTTACTTGCAATTTTGTTGAGAAATCAAACAAGTTGAGTTTAGGCTCATTTAGTAAACGAGTCATTAGACTCGTTGGGGCTCGAGAATACAAATTTTTAACTTTTTTTTCTTTAAAGTTTACATCGTTCGGCTTGATAAGGCTCGCGTTCAACTCGTTAATGCTAGAATTTAACTTGTTAATGTAAATAAATGAGTTCAAACTTGTTTATCGACTCGGTCAAGCTATGCTCTTCTACACCTCAGAGCTCCAACATATTCATTTTTTGATTTAGGAAGGTTAAATTTCTATCAACAACAAATTCTTAAGCTGTAATTATTTTCATTCAGAAAAGTAAAAGAAAAAAAAAAGACTAAACATAAATAAATAAATAACTAAACATAATATATATACATATATAAAAATACTCCACTATCCACGGTGGACACGTGTTAATATATCCACCGTATAGGTGGCATGCAGTTATTGGTAATGTTAATATGTTTAAAAAATATATCACCAATGAATGCATGTCACCTACACGATGGGATATTAACATGTACCCGTGAGTAGGTGAACATTTCTCTATACATATACTCCCGACAACATATTTTCCCGCGAAGAAACTCAAGTGCATCAAACTGAAATAAAGATCCCCAATAAATTCGGTTTCACATTCCGTTTTTCTGCACTGTGGGCCCCACGGTATCTCAAATGTTTGGAAAATGTATTTGTTTTCTCAATAATTAAAATCAAATATTTAGGTCCTAAATGGGACATCATTAATCAAACACTAATGTTTGACTAATATTGGTGGTTGAGATAAGTCATCTACCTATGTATTCGGGCTATTGACTTTTTTTTTTTAAAAAAAAAAAAATTGTCTAGTTTTGTTGTCTCTTGTCGTGTGACA